CCTGTAAAACTGAAGAAGGGGAACTGTGAGAAAGGTTGGGAAAGAGAAATATATGATGCTTTCACTACAGATGTGATCTGTAGCAGATTAATTTTAGAATAAGGAACATTTAGCTATGGAGGATCTGGAATTTGATCTCTTAAAACTGCCTGGGTCATGTGCCCCTTGGAAAGTCTTCATGTACCCCAGTTTCAAGACCATCAATACAGAGCACGAGCTTTGGAGTCAGACAAGTCTAAGCCTCATGCCAGGTCTTGCCAAGCCCAGGCTGTGTGACCAGGGCAAATCACCTTTTCTTCTTCACTTTCCTGTGAATCTCTGAAAGATCCGAGGGCTTGAAATACACATTCCCATAAGGATCAAGATTCAAAAAAGGTACTCACACTTGTAAAGCACTTGCTATGTGCTTGACAGGTAGTACTGTCTTTGCAAGAACTCTATCATGTAAAGAGAGGAAATGGAAATATGCTGTGACTTGCCAAAGGCCATAAAACTACAGAGCTTGGGTTTGAACCTGGGAGGTCTGGCTTCAGAATCCAAGCTCTTAATCAACTATGCTATACTGCGTCCTCCTAAGGCAAAGAGGATCCCATTCACAGACAAGACTGAGGTGGGCTCAAGGCCTCTGCATTGGGTCCAATCTGCTGTCTTCCAGTCCAGACCCCTCTGAAGACGTGGAAAGGGGTTCAGGGTTTGTGCTCTGCGAATTACTAGAGCTGTGATAGTGGTTAAGTGATTTCACCTCCCTCAGCTTCAGTTTCCTTATCTGTAAGGGTTGTTAGAAGGCCTAAGTCACCCATGCAAAGGTCATGGCACATGCAGTCAGTGCCTAGCAATGGGTTATTTTTATCACCACACTCACCAGTCAGAGACACAAATCTCAATCCTGCCACTATCCAGCAGTTCTGGCCACAGACCCTCCTCCTCCAGGTCCAAGACCTGCTTCTTGCGACACCACCTAGGAAGGTGGGAGAAGGGATAGTGAGAAGACACAGGCCTTTCTCGACAACGGGCCTGGCCTTTAGGTAGCAGGAGAATTCACCTGAAGGAAGTCACGAAGCAGGTCTGCGAAGGGGCCCCAGGCACGGTTGTCCTGTTTTCCTCCACCACCCAGCCGTCCCCACCGTGCTGCACCATCCACTTCTGAAGGCCTTCTGTTAAACAGAAAAGGCTTGTGCCTGAGTTCCAGTGGCCCACCCGCAGGCCCCGCCCCG